TAGGTGTACGTGGCTGGCGCCCCAGCCGGCCGAGCTACAGGCGCCGAGCCGTGGTTATTTCTTATAGACATTTTGCTGTAATGAACATACCTGGATGAGGATGGGGCTGCTCTGAGCTCCTGGGAGCATGAATTGGGTATAAGATGTAGCATCCTCTGAATCTCCATGAATTGGGTGTAAGATGTAGCATCCTCTGAATCTCCATGAATTGGGTGTAAGATGTAGCATCCTCTGAATCTCCATGAATTGGGTGTAAGATGTAGCATGCTCTGAATCTCCATGAATTGGATGTAAGATCTGAGCTGCTGGGAGCATGAATTGGGTGTAAGATGTAGCATGCTCTCAATCTCTGAGCTGAGAGGGCCATGGCATCAGGGTGTTGGAGGAGCTGGCATCACTGCGCACTTAATCAAGTCACTTGATCAGCTATTTGTGTTCAGCCATTTATCCAATCAGGATAAGCTAACAAGAGCACACAGAACTGGTAGGAAGGGTATTTGGTTCCCTGAAACAGCAGTCATTAACCCTACAGTAAATTAGAACACGTTTCCATCGGATGAGCCAGATTGCTCTTCTTTTCTTTAAGTTGAGTAAATCAGATGAGCTCTTACTTAAAGTTATATGACATAGCTTTAATTTTCCTTGATGAAACATGTATGATTTTTTACATCATTGGTGACAGGTTCTGCTGAAAACAAGAAATAATTTTGGAATGTGTTGTCGTTTTTCCCCCTCTGGGTATTATCCTATCCCAGAATTTGGTATTTATACCCAAAGCAATCAGGATAAAAAAAAAAAAAAAAGCAAGCTCTGGGATAGAAAAGGATATTTTGGGCCCTTCTTTTTGCAAACATTCCTCTTTGAGATTACATTTATATAACCTGCTCTGTTTTATGTATGTACGTATAGATATACACACACACATATTCACCTGTACATACTCATAGATGAATAAGCATGAGCCCATACACATTATATGACTACATGTAATCTTATATTCTTTTTAAAATAATGACATGTGTACATTTTCCAGGTCAGTTTTATTTTAATGCAATCTACCTACACTTTCTCCTCCACCAAGATGCCGTGTCCTCAAAAGAAACTTTCAACCCATCTTAATTTTTCTATTTACTTAACTTTCATTCCCTTTGGAGGTGTTGGTGGCTGTCCTAGACCATTGTAAATGATGTAATGTCAATCATTTTGTCACCGTCTTCACAAATAAAGTCATGAAAGGAGGACAAAAAAGGAAGAAGCCTCTGAAGAAATGAAATGAGCTGTCTTCCCTCAGGCTGCATTGCTCTTCCTCACTGCACCTGTGTGTTGAACGGTGCAGCTTTGCTCTGTCTACCTTACATTTTGCATCTTCAAGTAAAACTCAGTTTGTAGGCCTCTCTGCTAAAGATTACTGTGTCTCCTCCCCAAAAAGCTGCCAGCCACATGGTCTCTTGCTCTTTCCCAATCCGTCATACATCCTCCTCTTGGAGAAATTTAGCCCTTTCTGAAGGATATTTCTCATAACAGCTGTTACGTGGAGCGCTGGACTTTAATCTGTGCGTGACGGTGTCTTGCTGCAGCTGATCATGTCCAGGAGTGTGTAGGCCCCTGGACACACCGAGACGCTTCAGCCTGGGACTCACAGCAGAGAGGATATCGTCCTCCTGGGTCCTGGGT